CACTTTTCGTTTAGTTAGTTTAGTTAAGTCCAAATTCTCATAATTTGGAACACTGCTATTGCAAATTATTTGTCCTTTATTCTGATATGTAAAAGCCAACTACGATTAAACCTGTGTTTCTGTTAAATAAAATGTCTCAAATTAAACAGTACCGTTGTCTCTAAACTTGTTTTTCTACAAACGTCATTAAGGTATAATTTTAACGCATGCTGTCAGTCAATTTCATTTTATGATACTAGTGTTAAAAGTGAATTATTTTTAGCACTAGTGTTAAAAGTAAGTCATGTGATTTACCTTTAAGACCACTGTTATAAAATCACACTTTAGAAACTGTCAGTACACGTTAAAAATTATACAAAATTATATTTTATGGATATTCAACAAGTATACCTTTTTTACGTAAAATACCATAAATTTTTATAAAATGATGGAAAATTTGGGGTATAGTGGAACAAAAATTTTTTTTCTAGAAATTTTGGTGGGGGGTGCTTTGCCCCCGGGCCCCCATAATTATTATCGAGGATTTCATATTATCATCCAAAGCAGCTTCAAAAATTATAGATCCAGCCAAAAAATTTTCAAAATTTATTGAAAAATACAAAAGTTACAGCAAAAAAAACATTTTTAATTCTCAACTTCAAGAGCTAATAACTCTACAGGGTGAGCCCGGAGGAAAAAATTGTATATGAACTTGTAACATTATTTTCTCATTATTTATCCATATCCGAGAGATTGCCCACCATTTCCGGGACACCCTGTATAACTGATAACTCAATATATAATCTATTACTTAGTACTGAATGAGCCTATTTCACTTTTCTTGGCATTGACAGAAAGTACTTATTTTTGGAAACCGTAAAACCAAAAGCTATTTTCAGTACATTGGTTGTAAAGGTATATTTTCAAACACACTGTCATGTCTATAATAGTGCAATGTGTAGAGCCACACAATGTAATTAATACTTATGTTATATTAATTATAATATTCCAGTGAAGCAGAACGCATATCAAAATTGTCAACATCTTGATGGCATAAAAAGCGTCCAAAATTTATCGAGTAGGCCTGGTACAAGCTGCGTCGCCCAGCAAGACCAAGCAAGAGCAAATCGTACTAAATGGCAAGCTCCACATTTGAATTTAAAAGTTAGACACCTTTTGTGCTGAACTGTGATTATTTTCCCTGTTCTTTAGAAGTGAAATTGGCCTTAATGATAGATATTATCGACTTGGGAGCTTAGGCGTCGTGTCACGCCGTTGCTCTGGCCGGTTTTAATCAATTGTAATTTAGTTCATTCAGTTTGAATGTCGAATTTACAAATCTGGGTGGAAGATAATACACATTTTAACTGAATGGAAGGGTGGAAAATGATTTTACTCGTATTATTTGTGGCGTTGTGGTTAAAGTTGAAAGCTGTATATTGATTGATGTTTGTTGGTTTATGTAAATAAACATAACCCATTTCTAGGTAGGACGTTAAGTCAAATATTTATGATTTAAACTACATATAAAGGACAGAGTTTGCTTTCCATAATACTACATAATAGAGATAATCAACAATTCCCTTCACAGAGAAGACATATTTGCATTTAGCGTGGCCTAAGTTTTTGTTACATTAATTCTATTTCAGAAGAAGGGGTAGACTTTATGGACACATTGATTAGGTGGGCATATATTTTTTTAAGAGGATCAGTATATCAAAATACTCATTTTTCAAGCAAAAACTTTTATCAAGAATGTCTTTTTTTCGTATATTGCAAAATTAGGTATGTTTACTCTTACGCAAAATAACATTTTTGTGTTTTTAAACCACCCTGTACAACAAAATTAAAGTTTGCCATGGTGATTCGTATTTTCGAAACAAGAAAAAACTTTTTATCAAGAATGTTTTTTTTTCGTATCTTTCACTTCTTGGTCCATTTGTTCTCTTGTAATAGTCCAATTAAATGAGCCTTCAAATCACAATTTGGTCTACTTGCCTGAATCTTTGATAGTTAGTTTAAGGTAAGTATATAATAACAATAAGTGACAGTAATTTTTTTTTTCAACCCCCGGTTAGGGATGAAAAAAGATAAAATACAGAGTTAGAAAAAAAAGTTTCTTATAAAAGTTGTAGAGCATAAAATTCTACATAAAAATGGTAAATAGACTTTTTCTTGTACTATTAAAATTAACAGAGTTAGGGTAACTAGAAGTTAAGGGATGAATTCAGACATTTAAAAAATCATAACAAGCAGAAAAATGAATTAATTTTATATATTTATTTTCAATCTATTCTAAAAAATGTAAGCTTTCTTTTCAGAAAAATAGATATATTTTTTAATTTTTAATAAAAAAGTTATAACAATTTCAATTTTTTAATGATTATTTTTTATCATTTAACACTAAAACAGTTTTTTTCTATCCCATTAGATTGATTATTTAAAATAATGAAAAGATGCTTTCGAAATTTTGTTTTACGACAAAGATAAAAAATCACGTTCGTTTTGTGAAATTGTTATAATCTTTTTATTAAAAATTAAAAAAATATATTTCTCTTAAAAGGTAGTTTACATTTTTTAGCGTAGATTGAAAAAAGTTATAAAATTCATTCATTTCTCTGATTATGATTTTTTAAATTTCTGAAATCATCCCTTAACTTATAGTCTCCCTATCGCTGTTAATTTTAATAGTACAAGAAAAAGTCAATAGACCATTTTTGTTTAATTTTATGCTCTACAATTTTTATAGGAAATTTTTTTTCTATCTCTTACTCCTTTTGAGTTATATTGAAAAAGCCATTTATTTTATCTTTTTTCACCCCTGGCCGGCGGTTGAAAAAAAATTACTGTCATTTGTTATTATTATACAGGGTGAATCAGAACTTATCCAAAAAAAAATTCTGAATGTACAGGGGACCCTTACAAATACAATTTTGTAAAGAAAAAATCAAAAAGGGCAGTTCGAAAATGATTTAAAAATACACTTCTGCACGGCACTGGAAACTGGTCCACTGTAAAACCTGACCTCGCACAATGCGACCGG